GGGTCTCACCCCCTCTTTTCCTCCCCCCAGGGACGGCCCAGGTTTCCAACGCCAGCTCGTTTCAGCTGGAGCTGTCGCAAGGTGGATTCAGCGCCCTGCTCACCCCGGTGGGTAGAACCCCTCCCCCGTGCACCCTGGGGGGCCGGCCCGGTCCATGGGCTCGAGCTTCAGCTGGGGGGTGCGGCAGAGAGTCGTCCCCCCCTGGGGGCTGTGGTCAGACCATGTGTAATATACGGTCCCACCACAAGGTGGAGCCAGCCACCCTGCTATGAACATGGCAATTATTGCTGGGCTCATTACCATTAATAATTAGTCTGTTAACCCTCATATTTCTAACAATTTTAATTGATTATAATTATTCCTAATTCAGAATGTACTTTAATAAAGCACCATCCATGTTATAATTGTCCTAACTGATAGTAACATTTCATGATTAATATTAACACCATTGTTAATATCCCAGCTCGCTCGGACGGTGAATACACTGATTTAGTGTCCCGGCACCAGGGTTAGGAGTTTTCCCATTAGTAGATCTGGGTTTCTCATGCCTGGGAAGAGTTTTCTCATTGGCTCACGGATACCGTCCTCGCTAACCTGGGCTGAACCGTCTTCTCCTTCTCAGCAACAGCCTCTCAGGGACATTAGTAGCTTGGTATTAGGAGGATAAACATTAGCAGAGAGCGATATATTACTGCCAAGAGACTTCTTAATATCAAGGGGAATTATTATTAATAAGAACTTTGAATATTAATAAGGATAACAGTAACATTATCTATCTATCCATCCATCCCCATCCACCCCCTCTATCTATCTATCCCCGTACACCCCATCTATCTATCTATCTATCTATCTATCTATCTATCTATCTATCTCCTCACTGCTTTTAATAATATTCTCATATTGATATATACCCATTTATCTAGCTGGCTTTCCCATTGACATGAAGTTCGCTAAATACTTGGTCTCACTGAGACAGTTTTCCATTCATGTTCATATTTCCTTATTTACATGATTGTTTTTGCATTAATATTCATATTTATGGTTATTAGTTATTAATATTCATGTCAATGAGACGACGACTATAAATGAGAAGACAGTCACATGACTGAACAGCTGTGTCGGTGAGAACACGGACTTCGCAAACTACCGGTGTCCGTGGCTGTATATTGCTATACGTGATATTATAATTCTCATTAACATTAACAGCTGTTTAATGAGATTTGCTTATTGTTACTAATGAGTGCCTAGTGGCTATTAATATAGTCCCTTCTGTAAAATCGGTTTCCTCGTTATATTGACGGTAATATCTTCTCATTTGTTATTCATTGTTTTGCATGATTCTGCATCATTTTCTAATTCATGGTAGACTTTTCTCATTGATCATGTTAGTTATCGGTCAGTATTAATTATGCACCTTCTGGTTTCTTCCCACTTCCCTCTTCGGGGTTGGCAACGTTTGTAGCTTTCTTCCAACGCTCGCGGCCGTACGCCCTGTCATGCCAGTCGGTCTCTCTAGGGTCCACCAACGTCCAGTTCACGTGCCGAGTCTTTAGCCTCATGCTCCATCCTCTTCCATCTGTGATCATTGCGAGGGCCCATGTGTCTCTCCAGTCTCCGCTGGACACGTCCGTACCGACCTCAGCCCCTCGGCTCGTCTTGCATTGGGGTGGCCGATCGCCACCTCGTTTCATTCCCTGTCACGGAGCGTCCGGCCGTTTGACCATCTGGAGAACATCGTCACCATGGTGGAGAGCAGATGCCCGAGTGTCACCGGTTTTCCCCGTGGCTAGGAATAGCTCAGTGAGACTTTTCCTGCTGGAGATACGCTCTCCATTCCTGTTCGCTCGTGGCGATGAATATACTTTTCTTCCTCCTCCTCCTCCTCCTCCTTCTTCATCTCCATCACTGGCGGTTTGCACCCCCGGTCGCCCATTCTGCACCATCCTCTGCTCATCTCTTTGTGGACGACTTGTCTTTTAGATCCACCCGAGGGAACCACCTCGTCCAGCCACGACCTTTTTCCACCCCTTGTTCTTGTGACATCGACTTCCCCTCCAGCGCCAGAAATCTGCGTCACCTGCCCAACCTCCTACAGCAAATCGGTCTTACCTCCCTTTTCCTAGAGGGTCTCCGACAACCCCCTGCCGAGTGCCCGTCACCTCCAGTGTGATAGCCTCTGATTCTGATCCGACCGGCGGGTCTCCTTGGGCGCCGGCTTTGCTCACGGCTCGGCGTTTCTCCTCCTTCCTCGGGGCGGTTTTCAGAGGTCGTCTGCACCCCGTATCTCTGCACATGAGGTTGCGGTGATGGCCCAGTCGTCGGGGGCCGGGTGGGGGTTAGTGTGGTGAGGATTAGGTAACATAGACTAGTCATAGACTCATGGAATCATAGAATATCCGGGTTGGAAGGGACCTCAGGAAGTATCTAGTCCAACCCCCTGCTCAAAGCAAGACCAATCCCCAACTAAATCATCCCAGCCAGGGCTTTGTCAAGCCTGACCTTAAAAACCTCTAAGGAGGGAGATTCCACCACCTCCCTAGGGAACCCATTCCAGTGCTTCACCCCCCTCCTAGTGAAATAGTGTTTCCTAATATCCAACCTAAACCTCCCCCACTGCAACTTGAGACCATTACTCCTTGTTCTGTCATCTGCCACCACTGAGAACAGCCGAGCTCCATCCTCTTTGGAACCCCCCTTCAGGTAGTTGAAAGCAGCTATCAAATCCCCCCTCATTCTTCTCTTCTGGAGACTAAACAATCCCAGTTCCCTCAGCCTCTCCTCATAAGTCATGTGCTCCAGACCCCTAATCATTTTTGCTGCCCTCCGCTGGACTCTCTCCAATTTTTTCACATCCTTCTTGTAGTGTTGGGCCCAAAACTGGACACAGTACTCCAGATGAGGCCTCACCAATTTGGAATAGAGGGGAATGATCACGTCCCCCGATCTGCTGGCAATGCCCCTACTTATACAGCCCAAAATGCCGTTAGCCTTCTTGGCAACAAGGGCACACTGTTGACTCATATCCAGCTTCTCGTCCACTGTGACCCCTAGGTCCTTTTCTGCAGAACTGCTGCCTAGCCGCTCGGTCCCTAGTCTGTAGCTGTGCATGGGATTCTTCCGTCCTAAGTGCAGGACTCTGCACTTGTCCTTGTTGAACCTCATCAGGTTTCTTTTGGCCCAATCCTCTAATCTGTCTAGGTCCCTCTGTATCCTATCCCTATCCTCCAGTGTATCTACCACTCCTCCCAGTTTAGTGTCATCTGCAAACTTGCTGAGGGTGCAAGCCAGTAATGAAGTAGTCAGTAATGAATAATTATTTCGGCTCATTAATAGTCTGAATATTTCCCCTCATTAGTATCCTATTTCCCATCATTAATCATTATTTTAGCTTATTCATATGCCGAAGGCGTCACCTCAGTCATAGTCATGTGGGCTCATTAGTGTTCGGCGGTCGTTCGTTAACGCTGGCCTGAGGGGGGTGAATTGGTGGGTTACTGGCAGCGGGGGTGGGGGACGGGCTAGGACGCCTGGGTCCCTCACGGCCCTCTCTCTGTTTCTCTTCTTCCACCCCTAGGAGGCCGTTGTGGTGGGGGCAGTGGGGGCCTATGACTGGGCGGGGGGGCTGGAGGAGTGGTCGGGAGACCCCCCCCTCGCGGCCTTCATCAATGAGTCCTCCCTGGGGCAGGAGGCCAAGGACTCGTACCTGGGTGAGTGACCCCCCTGTCCCCCCATACCCCTCCCCCATCTACCCCCTTCCCCCCAGCCCCCCCATGCTAACTCCCTCCCCCCACAGGCTATGCCATGGCCCTGGCCCGCCAGGGGGGCCGTTTCCTGTACGTGGCCGGAGCCCCGCGGTTTGGGCACGTCGGGCGCGTCGCAGTCTTCCAGCGCCACGGGGGGCGGGTCGGAGACAGTGTCCAGGGGGAGCAGGTGAGAATCGAGTCCCCCCCGCCCCCATCCGTCTGTCCCCCCTGCTTCCCTGTCTGTCTGTCCATCCACTTGTGCCCCTGTCTGTCTGTCCGGCTGCCCCCCCGCTCCCGTCTGTCCGTCCGGCTGCCCCCCTGCTTCCCTGTCTGTCTGTCCGGCTGCCCCCCCGCTCCCGTCTGTCCGTCCACCCCCCTCGTCCTTCTGTCTGTCCCTCTCCTCACAACTCTGTCCATCTGTCAATCCATAACCCTTTCCCCCACCCGTCTGTCCAGGCCCCCAGTGCCTCCCACCCCCCGTTCCTCCCTCCGGCTCTGCCCCCAGCCCCTCCTCCGTCTGTCTGTCCTCCCCCACCTCCCTGTCCAGCCCCTCAGCACCCTGCATCCGTCTGTCTGTCTCTCCCCCCCAGGTGGGCGCCTCCTTCGGGGCCGAGCTCTGCACCCTGGACCTGGACGGCGACGGCGACACAGACCTGGTTCTGATCGGGGCCCCCGGCCACCAGAACCGCAGCCGGGGCGGCCTGGTCCGGGTCTGTGCCCTGCGGGATGGGGTGAGCCCGGGGGAGATAGGGGTGGGGCTTGGGGGCGAGCAGAGGGATTGGGGGGGGGATGGGTAGAGAGGAGGGGGACCAGGCTGGGGGGCTGGGGGTGAGGTGGGGGGCCAGGCTGGGAGGAGATGGGGGTGGGGGTGGGGCGGGGGGACCGGGCTGGGGGGAGCTGGGGAGAGAGGGGGCTGGGATCTGATCTGGTCTCTCTCTGCCCTAGGGCTCCCTGAGCTGTGCCCAGACACTGTGGGGGTCCCCGGGGGACGGGCTGGGTCGGTTCGGGGCGGCACTGGGGCCCCTGGGGGACGTGAACGGGGACGGCGCGGGAGATGTGGCCATCGGGGCCCCCATGGAGGATGAGGGCAGGGGGGCCCTTTACATCTTCCTGGCGGAGCCGGGGAGACTGGCCCTGAGAGACCCCCACAGCCAGGTGAGACCCCTGGGGACTGCGGGTCCGGAATGAGGGGCACCGGCAGAGCTGGGGGGCAGGGCTGGGCTGGCACGGGCGGCGGGGCGGGAGGGGCGGGGGCGGGGCGGGGGGGGGGCCCAGGGCTGGGCTGGCAGGGGCTGCGGGTCGGGAGTGAGGGGCACGGTCCTATCTCTCTCTCCCCCTCCCCCCAGCGTATCTCCGCCTGGTCTCTTTCTCCCGCCCTCCGGTTTTTTGGTCAGTCCGTCCAGGGGCGGCTGGATCTCAGCGGGGATGGACTCACGGACGTGGCCGTTGGGGCCCTGGGCCGGGCCGTGCTGCTCAGGTAGGGGAGAGGCCAGCGGAGGGCACTGCTGCGGGGAAGCTCGCAGCACTGGGGAAATCGGGGGGCGGAATTGGGGCTGCTGATGGGGGGGCGCGTCCGTCTGTCCTGATCTCTCACTGTCCGTCCGTCTGTCTCCCGGCAGGTCCCGTCCGGTGATCAGCGTCTCCTGCTCCATGGTGCCGAATCCAACCCTGATCCCCCTGGACAATGTCGGCTGCACAGGGGGGGCGGGCGGGGGGACCGGGCAGTTTGCCCTGACCCTGTGCTTCAACCTCAGCCAGATCAGCCTGGGGGGGCCAGGTGAGACCCCCCCACCCGCTC